TTTTTTTTCTTCAATTGGGCAATAGAACAAAACAAATTTGCTTCTTAGGGGCTGTTGGGTTGGGAAGCTACCATCTCTCCTAAACTTTTCCAAAATTTTCCGCTAAAAATGCAAGCAAGTGAGATTTTTAACGCTTATCTCTGCCTCCAACACAGATCTAAATCATGCGACTCCTCAAAGTACACGCGACTCCTCAAAGTACAAAGTTAATTTTTGATATTAACTTTCAAGTATTCAGTAACAACATTGAAACAATATTAATTGATCAAATTGCATTAGATTTTATTAAGAGAGAAACTCTTTTCGCACTTATTTTTTTATTTATAAGATTTGAATTTAAATTTTATTTAAGAAAAATCAAACTCTTTCCAATCGAATCAACGAATGTTCGATAAAGTACAAAATTGATGATGACACTTATGGCCCCTAAGGACAAGGACCTGGCTTATCATTATATATCACGGTACAGAAGCACTGATGGGCGCCATTAATGGACCTATAAGCCGCATCCACGGTCTTCGCGTAGCGTATCTGCTTTTTGCAGAGATTCCAACAGCAGTATTTGTATGTGCAATTTCCATGGATTGGTATGCTGCATTTTCGATTAGCTTCATTAACCACAACTGCAAACCACAGATAAAAACAAAGGTCAATTGATAGGTCCTTATTATTGTCAGAATTGTTGAAAGCAAAAAGGCTGAAATGAAATTGAAAACCCATTAGCATTGATCAAAACCCAAGCTTTGATAGATAAACTTCACCATGCACGAAACCTTCCATTTTGGGTATTTAGTTTTAAGGCAAACTTCCGTACACTTTGTTATAAGCAAAAAAAAATTCTCTTACAATTTTTTTTTTCTATTAAACACACTTAATAATTTTTCTTATTAATTTTCTTTCTATCAACTATTTTCTTATGAATTAATCCAATAAACATGATAGTTTGCTATCAAATTTAAAAACTTGAATTTAAATAATTAAAAGTGCTACCTCCACTATTTATTTAAAAAATTTTCCCATTTTCTCAATTTTCTCATTTTCAAAAAAAAAAAAAAGAAGAACTTTTACTAATAATCTGTTTCTCTCACCAAACCGGCCAGAATTCGATTCAATCCCGATGTAAAAAAAGTAAAATGAAGTAGCCCCGCCCACCTAGGGTTCCACGAGCTACATGAGAGTCGTCGATCCCTCCCCAAAGGCTGAGAATCTCAGCTTTCTTTAGCATTTTCTATTCAATTTTGAAGTTTTCTTTTTCCCTAACTCCCTTCTAGTTTTCCTCCGCCTCTCTCCATGATTTCAGATTCTCTCATAGTTTTTCTACTTGCTCTGTTCCTAAATCTGATAATCCCCAAAAAGGTTTTTAGCCGTTGTTTCTCGTTTCCTTGGTTTCTCACCTCCAAAATCCCTAAATACTTTACTAGAGTTTTATACTCCCTGTATCTAGCTATTAGCCAAAAAAACCCCAAAATTTTTTTTATAATCTTTGTTGTTTTTGCTTGTTTTTCCTATTGGTCGATTATGACGCAATCGGGCTTGGTTACCAGCAAGTGGAGCCCCGCCGGAAGAGTGATTGCTGAATCTCCTATCAAAAGGGGAAGATCTATGAAGTTTTGGCCAAGGCATGGAGAAACTTTCAGGTAAATGAAGTGAACACTTATCTATATACTCAGAAGGTCGGAGTAGATTGGGGGTTTTCTGTTTAACATTAAGAGATGGGAGGTTGGCTATACCCTTGCTGAAATAATATCTCTCCAGCTTCCTATTGTCATGGCCTTTGGATTGGCTTTAGGATTGATTAGCTTACCTATGAGAAAGCTGTTACCATAGTAACCTAGGCATCCTGGTCAAAGCTGAGAACCCGAGAGATAGGAACATACTGCTTAGGGGCTTTCTGATGTGTAAAAGGCTAAAGTAATTGAGCAATACCAAAATGCCAAGAAGGAAAAAAATTACTGAACAGGGAGGCAAAGGTAAAGCAGTCATCAACTATATCCGACCTCAGAATAAGAGTGTTGAGCAGAAGGGTACAAGAAAGGGGGTGTTCATCAATAAAGTAGAAGCTCTGGAATTCAAAGCGTGCCATCAGAAACATAAGGCAAAGACTGTTACAAGAAAAGGGGTGCATGTTTCCAATGTGGGAAGCCAAGACATTTAACAAGAAATTGCAGTGAGGATCAAGCAGACGAAAAAAACACAGGAGGTAGTTGGAAGAGTATATATATGCCTTGAATGAGCAAGTCCAAAGAAATCCAGCCGTGATTAGAGGTAAAATTTCTATCTCCAATGGAATGCTAAAGTACTAATTGATCCTAGATCCACTAACTCATTTGTGTCTTATGCTGCTTTTATATTTGTTAAACCTTCAAGTCTGGGTTCTGACAAGCTCCCCAAGAATTATAATAAACTCTAAAAACAGAATTGATTGATTCAGGAATCGTTTAGTAGAGAATAAGAATGGAGAAGTACCTGATGAAGAAGTCGACGGGGTAGCAGCTGTTGCAGCAGTGGCGAAGAGGACGAGGATTAGCAGGGGTATGAGAAAGATTGCAGTTGCAGAGGTCATCGCCGGAGACGGGGGAGATTGGAGATGCTGGAATTGGGAGAGGCCTCTTTTTTTGGTGAAGCTCATTTTCTTGATAATAACCAACCTGATCTGATTTTTTTTTTTTTTTTGAAAATAGGTAATTGAGAGCGTTTTGATTCTCAACAGGTTTTTTTTTTTGTCCTTTTAACAATATAAAAGATACAGATACAGAAAAAAGCGACTGCATTTAGCATTCCTCTTCGAAAGAATGAGAAGGTCAAAAGATTGTCGATTTTAGAAGAGTACGGCGACGGTTAAGAAATCAAATGCCCTTTCACTGATAAAGTCTACAATATCCCGGGTATTACGTATACCACGTGGGATGTTTCCCGAATCAATAATATTCTGACACGTTTTAGATTGTCGGGCCATAAAACACCAAAAATTAACGCCGTTTCTTTGCCTTCCTTCTTCCTTTCTATGGGCCGTTTCTATTTCTTCCTCTCTGTCTTTTATTTTTTTATTTTTTTCGCTGCATTTACATGCTACTCTTAAAAGTTGAATAACCATTTTTTTTTTCTTTCTTTGTGTAGTTCCAACAAAATGATTTATGAGATTTTTTTTATCTTTTTACAGTCATTAAATTTTTTTTCTATAAATATTTTATCATCAACTTTTTATTTTAGATGCTATTGTCATCAATTAACAAAAGAAATTCACTTTGAAATTCAATTGGGGAAATGTGAAGGAAGGCTGAGATTTTGGAGGTACATTTTCAAAAATCATGAATTTAAATGCTTTGGCGATCTGTAAAATAAATTTTTATGTGCTCACAGTGCCTTTGAACACCAAACCATGACGGCTATCATCTGCCTCTTTCATCACTTCTCCAAAACCCATCCATTTTTGCTTTTTCCCAAGTTTCACAGTCGATATTGATGCTAATCATCACAAGAAGGTGTTTTAAGAGCAATCCCTCTTGCATCCTTGAGAGAAGAAAAGAGTGGAGAATGAAAAGGAAAGGAAATGCCGATAGGAGAAGGAAGACGCAAGGCGAAAGAAAGGAAAAACGACAACAGGAAATGGTGTTAGTTTTGTGTGTTTCATGGTTATTCAACCTTCCAAGAGGAGCAGGTAAACGCAGCAAAGAAAAAAAAAAAAAACGGAGAGGAAGAAGTAGAAACGGCCCAAAGAAAGGAAGAAGGAAGGCAAAGAAACGGTGTTAGTTTTTGGTGTTTTATGGCCCCACAATCTAAAACGTGTCAGAATATTATTGGTTAGGGATACATCCCACGTGGCAGACCCGGCATATTGTAGACTTTCCCCCCTCTTTCAGACTTTCAGTATCTCTGTGGGGTGTGACGTGTCTTACCAGACAAAACAAAGTATGTCTGTGGGGTGGGACCATTGATGTCGATTACTCTTTCCAAAAGAAATCAACTATGACCCCTGCAATGATACCAACGTAGGAGTCAAAAGTTTGGGACAGGGATTGCTTATTTGTACACTTCCATTTATTGCTACTGGGGGAAGGTCATAGTCGATACAGATAAAATGAAAGATAGGTGAGAAAAATAAGGAAAGGCTCAATTAGCTCTTAGATAGATTCCTCTAAAGAAAATACAAAGGAAATTTAGTAGAAAATAAAAGAAAATTTTTTGATATATTCCACAATATAATGGTCTAAAATAAAAAAATTACATATAATCTCCCAAAAGGGTTACAAAGAATAGTAGAGGATGAAGGAGATAAATAATTTCTGAGCTATTGTAAAAATGAAACA